AAAAAAAAAAAAAAAAGACAAAAACAAAAAATCGGGCCGCTACATTACCTGACTCAAGCTGCAAAGCTGCAATGCAGACAAAGGCTGCTGATAGGCTTTCAGGTATGATTCCCCCAGGCATGTACAGTGAGAGTGTGTCATGGGCCTTGAAGCCCAATACCCTGGCCCAANNNCAAAAAGTTTAAACTTTTCTTTGAGTTTACCTACTGGGCTCCTAAGTGCAGAACCCGTAGAGGGACCTTTCCGGAAATCAAAACTTCGAACCGACCCTGCCGAAAGAACCGTGGACGATCTTAGCCATAGTAATTTGCATGGGAGGTGGGTTTGGAGTGACTCGGAGTGGCGTACCTGCAATGCCGGAGCCCGAATAAGAGTCTGTGGGATTTTGGGGTGGTCTCTCTACCTTAAAGAACTCTGGGGAACCCGCAGACCCTAAATCCCAGGAGGAATGTAGGGGCCTTAATAAGTAGAATAGGGCTTTGGGGTATATGGTGCTATACTTATAATAAGAACACCACCCCAAAAAAAAACAAAAACAAAAAAAACAGTATATGTAATTATTCAGGCCCCATACATTACGTCACTAACCGTTCCGACCCGTGCGTCAAAATATACGGGATGGATTTGCCCCGACATTCTGCAGGCTTCCTAGCCGGATTAAGAACTAGTATAGGTGGGGCCTGAAGACTCAGACTGGGTTTGGGGGGACGGGGGGATAGTATGTCACATATATATATATATACGTATATACATATATATATAAATATGTATACATCAATCAATATATATATATATATATATATGACGATACTATATGACTGTTGGATTCTATTCATGAGAAGAACCCGCCATACCTCAACATGCGACTGTAAAGCTATGAACAGTTGGCGGCGAAGCTACCATTGGCAGGGTTCTGGGGTTTGGTGCTTCAAGGGCCGAGGTTGAAGCTTTAGGAGTTCGGGGTTTAGGGTTTCGGGCCTAGGGTTTAGGGGTAATTAGTTCTTTCCCTTAAGAAGACTGTCCCTAAACCCTAGATCCTAAACCCTAAACCCTAAACCCTAAACCCTGAACCCTAAACCCCAAACCCAAAACCCTGAGCCCTAAACCGCATTAACCTCAGAAAGGAAACCCATGGCTCTAAATCCCAAACCAGCACAGACAGCGCCGTACCACATACGACGATCCCGAACAAGAACCAATGGTGTCTTACCCTGGTTCTAAGGTTTAGGGTTTAGGGGTTTAGGGTTTAGGGTTTAGGGGTTGAGGAATAGTTATACCTTTAATCATATCGAGGAACCCTCTCATACTTTAACTACGGTAGATTCCTTATTCAAGGGCTTTGGGGCTTCTATAATAGTTCCCAAGCTCGGTCAATCCCCTGTGCACATACCCGCCTAGCCGTCAACAAGGCGACGAAGACCTTCAAAGAGTGCTCGCGACTGCGACGGTTGACAAGTTGCGGCGTTTAGAGCTTGAGGTGTCGAAGATAAGCGCACTTCATGTATACTTTCAATCATAGAACCCGCATTCTAGAGGTTAACCAACACTTTCAGAAGCTCCAAGCGAGGGGGGACTTTGTTCTTGGCAGGCTTGGCATAGCATGGTGTTACAACCTATTTACACTCCTTCCGGTGGAGGAACGGAAGCCGAATTCTATACCCTACGCCCGAAACCCTAAAACCCTATAGAAGCCAGAATACTTAGCATCGGGCCTTGAGCTTTGAGGCTTTCGATCTTCCCTAAACCCTAAACCCCAAACCCGCTATATCATGAAGCCCTCAGGAGTAGTATATGGCAAGCATTTTGGGTCTAGAAATCAACTGGGCGCTCTTGCAGGCCACGCCGCGTCGGTGGCCCACAACACACCTTTAAAGACCACGGTCGATTTTAGCCGCGGTTGTGGGCTTTGGCGGTGTAGAGCTTGCCAGAATCCCCAAAACCTACTCAAATCAGAACCCTCGCAACTTTACGGGATTGTTTCTGAGGGTTCAGGTAGGCCTACACCCGAGACCGGTAGAGTAAACCCTAAAACTCCCCTAAAACCCCCTAAAAAACTTTAAAGCACACTAAAGCCCTCAACCCTAAACCCCCTATAAACCCGGACTTCTCCCAGAATCTCCGCCAAAAAAACCCGGGTCTTCAGCAAGGGCTCCGGACAAAGAGCGCTGGAAGCAGCACCTTCGGTTTAGGGCTTTAGGGTTTAGGGCTTGAGGGTTTAGGGCTTTGGGTTTTGGGCTTACGGCTTAGGGTTTTTGGTTTAGGGCTTTAGGGCTTAGGGTTCTGCGCCTAGGGCTTGAGGGTTGAGGGTTTAGGGCTTTAGGGCTTTGGGTTTTGGGCTTACGGCTTAGGGTTTTGGGTTTAGGGCTTTAGGGCTTCGGGTTTTGGGTCTAGGGCTTGAGGGTTTAGGATTTAGGGCTTAGAGCTTAGGGGTTTAGGGCTTAGGATTTAGGGGTTTGGGCTTAGGGTTTAGGGCTTAGGGTTTTGGGTCTAGGGCTTAGGGTTTAGGGCTTATGGTTTAAGGCTTTGGGTTTAGGGTTGTGCTTTCAGCAAGTTTGAGCATCACTCTGAAAAGCTTCATTGACAGAATCGGGTTTGGCGGAGACCCCAAACCCAAAACCCTTATAAACCCTAAACTCCAAACCCTTATAAATCCGAAACCCTTGCAAACCCTAAACCCGAAACCCTTAAACTCCAACACCTCGGGGCTCAAAGACATTCTGGATCTCAACGGGCTTGCTATTTCGCCGGAGCTTCCGAACTCTGATGAAGTAGTTAATGTGGGATAGGTTCTAGTTTAGGGTTTAGGGTTTAGGTTTTTGGGGGTATATTATACTACAACTACAATAAGGAGCCCCCAAAACCCTATTCTTATCATTTAGGCCCCTACACTAAGTGATGATACGAAGGGGTTTCGCCCCTAAACTAAGTGATGATCCGAAGGGGTTTGGGAGCCTCTGGCTTGACCTAATCCCCATGCCCCCTCACCAGGGGCATGTAAACGGTTTGGGGTTTAGGGTTTAGGGTTTGGGGGTATTTAAAAAAAGAAGAGAGTGTTACCACCTGCTCCGACCTCTTTCTACGACCTTACACCCTTGAACCCTCAGCTAAGTTACCTTAGGCCTCCGCCTCCCTTCTGCTCTGCACCTGTTTACACTGCGGTGGATGTTTATAATCTCCAGAAGAAGCACTTGCGTATACAACTCCAGAACTATGCCTCAGTCGATCCTCCCTACCAATAACAATGACGACTATTATGTGTATATATATATATATATGTTTTTTCTACTGGGGCCTGTCTTCGGTGTATATATATATATGCACATACATACACACTTCTTACAGAAAAAACGAGAGAGAACAGTTGATGTTCCGCGAGAAAGTAAGGGGTCATGTACAAGTATGTAACAGTACAGGGAGGGTCCTGCCAAGTCGCTTCAAGCCCTTGTTTCCTGTTTTGGGATTTTCTAGGGTTTGGGTTTCTTACTGTTTTGGAATTTTCTACGGTTTAGGGGTTTAGGGGTTTAGCGTTTAGGCTTTAGGGGACTATACTAGAATGTGCGGCCCCAACCCTGTTCCAACTACAAGTATCCGATGATGGAAGCCCTCATCTAAAACTCTATTCTACTTTTCCAAAGCCTCTATTACCCTATTAGCCTAGTATAAAACAAAAAGGACACGAACCCTTCTCTTGCGCATTGCCTGCGAAGCCCAGGCACGCCGGTCGCGACCTCGGCAGACATCGTAGTAGAATACCGCTTTTGTTGGGGGGGAGGAGGGGAGCGTGCAATTTTAGTCAAGTCCTAACACACTGGGTCTGGGACTCTGTTTGGGAACTCCGTTATCTAGCGAAGAACAAACTCTGATATCTCTTCATGAGAATGGGGCTTTGGGGATATGATGTGATAGTATATGATATACATTATATAAATTTAGGAATGGAGCAAAAGCGAATACGATAACCGATGCACCCTCTATGAACGTGTTCCCTGCTGCTCGCTCTATATTAAACTCAGCTATTTGCATCGCTGGCATGCTTTGATAATCATCATGTTGAACATGAATATTGCCGCTGTCGCTCTACCCCTTCCCTCGGCAAGTATATCAATTCCGCCATCTGGACTCACCGTCACCCAGTGTCTCAAGAATCATACAGGGTACGTTACATGGACTTAGGCCTCATGGTTCGGCTTAAGTTTAGGATTTAGGCTACCCGGAAAACCACCAACTCCAAACTCCACAGCCGAAAGCCCAAACCCTGGACCCTTAACCGTACTTAAAACCCCCAGGCCCGGACCCCGTGGACCCTAAGCTTTAACCCCAGAGCCCCAATTTAGAGGCTGAGTAGCCTAGCCCAAGAAAGGTTACATTTGTAAGTTATGCCAGGATTATATAAGCCCCAGAAGGTTAGCGGTCGCCCACCCAGCCCCTAAGCCAAAAGCTCTGAGTGCACCCAATGCTAAGATCCGCACGCACCGAGAGAGCACGCTTTCGGAAGATGGCATCGAACCTAGGAAAAATCTCCGCGCAAGGCCCCGACAGACCACATAGGCGAAAAGACCCTGCTTAAAGGATCACGGAGACGTTAGTAAGTATGAGTTTTTCCGTTTGTATGTCCCATCAGGGCAT